TAATATTAGTATGAAAGAAAAATACACCAACCAAAATAGGCTAGGTGAATCTAATGACAGCCAAATAGACAAGGCCTATAAGATGTAAGTTTGTTTGAGCTTGTATTATGCATTACAATTTCTAAGAACTTTTATAAAGGAAAAAAAGGTATAAGCTTCTTATGTACTGCTTGTTATGCAAATGAATTACATAAAGAATAATGAAATCAATCATGTTAAAGTATGATATTGTAACAATCATATATCATTTATTGAACTGTGTGGTTTTGTTTGTAGTATTGAATTTAGGTTTTTACATCATTGTAAACATACATATCACATCTTGTTAAATGTGCTTTTTATTATTTTATTTTTTGAAGCTAAACTGCTCCTGTCTTCAAAGTTATCAAATAAGTTACACAATGATTTTACACATGCAAGCCTAATGTAAAACTTCATGTTCACCTAATCAATCAAAAATAAATATTGTTAAAGTCTATATCAACATTCATTTTGTATAGTAAATTTTATTCTTGTATGATTAGCATTTAGCTTTTGATAATGACATACATTCTTGAAAAAATTAAATGCGCACAAGAAATGTAATAAATAAAACAATACGAAAAATTGTTGATTAGGAATTGTTTATTAGTTATACTTTTTATTTACAAGTATAATTAATTTTTAATGTTGTGCGAAGTACATTATTTATGTAATCGATCCCGTACGCATTCAGTTTCCATACTTTGCATGTTTTTTGCTGTAGCAAAATCTGTATTTTGTATCGCGATATTCTAGAAAACGATAAGTTGCTGAAAATTCATACCGAACAATGTTACAGCGATTAATGTCTCCAGATGATACAAATGTTTTTGAATCTTCAATATGAATTTCCGTTCATCTTCAGTTCATTTTGCAATACACAGATTTTGACGATTTGGTCTTCATCTTTTATCCGAGATAATCAAAATTGGCGAGCTAGTCTCAAGTCATCTGCTGTGAATAGGAGAGATGATGCAAATCTTCGACAGAACAGGATCGACTCTAGGTAAAATCAGTTATCGTTATAATGTTAATTGAAACCCCATTATCAAATACTTAGATCATTTCGCATCACATTTATGTAGTCCCTTGTCTTTTTTACTTACTAAACATAAGTACTAAAATTTATTATTATCTTTTGCAATAATCTCGAGAACAGATATTCAGAAAATATGCGGATAAACGTTCTTGTACTGTCTTATTTACGCATCGAAGAAGGTAGTGTATTTATAGGAAATCTTTTTCTGGACGAAACTCTTATATTTCAAATAAAAACGGATTATACTTATTTAGCTGTACATCTTGGTTGAGTTAGAAATAGTAGAAGTAAAAAAGCCGATTGCAGTCCTAGCAACAGATCTATAAAGGATGGGCCTGAAGTGTTGACTCGATTTCTATAATAAATCTTTTTAAACTGAAATACTTGTTTGTAAATATGTCTTTGTGATGAAAAGATGCAGTAAAACACGTACTACAAAATTACTAGTGCTTGACCCTGCTAGTTTGTCTAGTAAGAAAGTTATAAGCTTACAAATATACTTCACAAAAAATAAAAAATTAACCGTGAACGTTTTTAGAACATACAAAGAAAGTAGTGGACTAGATACAGCTTGAGCACTAAGTTCACTTTCAAAATTATTTTAAGGCCATGATATAATTATTTTTAGATGCTGAACTCGTTTTGTTTTGTAGAGTAGTTTCGTGGACTCATTCTTTCTTCGAAAGAAATAAATCCCACATCTATAATACTCAATACTACTGATAAGTTATTCTTTGACTTTGTCCTGTTTTTAAATATATATATTTCTTTATTGCTTTTGTGAATTGTTCCCTTCAAACAGCTCTCGATGCGCTACATGTTTATCTATCTTTTATTATCTTCGTTTTTGTAATATTCGGCTTATTTTTCTTTTTACTGCATAACAACATAATGAAGAATGGAGTTTATAAGATTATAACCCATCAATAGTGTTGAGTATTATAGATGTGGAATTCATTTCTTTCGAAGAAAAAATGAGTCCACGAAACTGCTTCTCTACAAAAAACGAGTTCACCATATAAAAATAATTATATCATGGCTTTAAAGCAATTTTGAAAGTGAACTTAGTGCTCAAGTTGTATATAGTCCACTATTTTCTTTGTATGTTCTAAAAACGTTCACGGTTAATTTTTATTTTTTGCGAAGCATATTTCTGAGCTTATAACTTTCTTATTAGATAAGCTAGCAGGGTCAAGCACTAGTCATTTTGTAATGCTTGCTTTACTGTATCTTTTCATCGCAAAGATATATTTACAAACAAGTGTTTCAGTTTAAAACGATTTATTATACAAATCGAATTAACACTTCTGGTCCACTCTTTATATAGCAATCAAATATTGAACAATAAAATTAGCTACACATTATAGAAATAAGCTAGAGTCCCAGTTGTCCCATTGAATAACGTATTATAGCAAAAACGTCAACTTCGAATAGATGCGCAACAGCCTGTAAAAATCAGTTGTTGGATACGTTTGAAAGAATCAAAAAGAACATGCTGTGAGTGTATTGTCAATACAAACTAAACAGATAGATGAATTTTTCTGAAAATTTTCACTAGTATATTAGATACCATAGATTGTCATGTGACGAAAATCGAATGGTTCTAAGATAAAATTATTTATTAGTTGAATAATATTGATACCTTCTGTAATATACTGATAGTCCAAACAGTGCTGTATAATACTATAATATTTTACTATTCTTCAGTCGGTGTGATAGTAGAAGAATTTCGATCCAAGCTGTTCACCTTTGACTTTGTTAGATAAGGAAAACTTTCGCTTCTACAATATATCTTATGCTGTACTAAATATATTCGAATGAGAGTTATTCATGATAAAATATATTTTGTTTTCAGTGGTCAAGCTCCACCTTTGAGAACAGTTGAAAAATTGTATGAATAATTTCGTCAAAGTCAAAAAGACGTGGAAGACAGAGAAAAACCTACTAGACCTGTAGATGACATCAAACCAAAGGAAATAATCTCAAAGCAAGCTCATAGATAAGCAAGAGAAATGAATCATTTTTGAATACAGTTAAAATATATTATACTCTATCAATCGATAAATTCCAGTTGTTTCTCTTTTTCCTATCAATGTGAATTCCGTTAAACCTTTGTTGTAATATAATCACTATTGGTCGCAATCAGATTAATCTATGAATAGTATAAAGCAGAGATGTCCATGAGGTCGCAACAATCGACGTGTGTGTTGGTTTGCAGGGCAACTTTGGCGTCGATTGTTGCGCCCCCATGGACATCTCTGGTATAAAGTAGCCATTTCTGTTGCCGCTTCAATATAATTTCTTAGTGCAAACCTTTAAATTAGGACTTGATTATAATGGTAATAAAAGATTCGATATAAATTCTTTGAAAACTTCTCAGAAATATTACAAATAATAGCTAAAAATTGTTTGACTGATAACGCCAAATAGTGAGGCGTTATTTTTTACAACCAATGAAAATTTTGTTGTATTTTTCGATTGTGTCAAATAAATCTTTTCTATTCCTCCCACCTATTTCCCATTTTCTAAAAGAGAAAAAATTGTCATGAATATGACAATCGAGAAAGAAGTCATAATATCAATTAGTCATATTGATTCATTTTTAATTCATTATTAAATCACATGTACGATACACTGTACAACTAGCAGTCTTACCTATGCGATACATATATTCGTAGTACTTCAACAAATGTTTCTTATCAAAGACTCTTTTTTTTGTTTTATTTTTTTAGTTTTATCTACTACCTACTTATGTAACAGTAGGTAATTTTACGACATATTCTGAAAACAGGTTTTTATTTCAGCATTTCTAATAGAAATACAAAATAGAATGTATTTATATGCTCAATTTATACTGGTAAAATGTACAACAGTGAAATTCTGTTAAGTTATGTATTAGAAAAAAAACTCCAGAAGAAAATCCCATATTTCTGTTTGACAAACATTATCTACTGATAATAAAAAAGAAAAGATGATAGTTGAGAAAAATACACTTTTTTTCCCATATAGAATTGCGAAATGAGATTGAAAATAGGAAGAAAAAAAGTGAAACATTTTAAAATCATAGAATAAATTACGTTTATTATATTTCTTATAAAAAATTCACCTTACCATCGTAGAAACAGAGTATTATTGTATTCAGTGAAGTCTACTGTAGACATTCTATGTTTTGAACAAAGTGTAAAGCAGCATGTATTTTTATAATAGCAGATATTATGTACATCTTACCCTCTAGTTGGTACACTTTTTGTGACATTGGTCTATGCGAGCGAAGCGAGAGGGGGAGCTGCCCTCCTCCCCCCCCCCCCCCCCCCCCCCCCCGCCTTAATCTAAAAAAAACTTTCGCTTTTCTCCAGTATTTTTTTAAATTTCGCTCACCAATTCTCAAAAGCACGTTCATCCCCCCTCCCTCTCCTTAAAATTTGATCCAGTTTAGCAGAAATCTTTTTATTTGCCTCTTGAGTCACCGGCTTCGGGATACCTCTGTTTCTCGATGAGTCAAAACGACACTTGACAATTATTCTTATTTTTAGTGAAAAAAAACTATGTAGGATGAAATATTTTGATGAGTATTTGTATATAGTTCTCACCTTCATATTTCGAAATTTGATATTGAGATAAGTAGATAAAACATATCTGATGCAATAGAGTTATTTGTTTCCAATGCAGCATTTCTACAACAGAATAAAAATTAGAGAAAAATGATATAAATTTCTTTATTTATGAATTAAAAAAACGAAATATTAACATTCGCTTTCATTTAAATTTTGAAATACAAATTAATAATTTATCTAAATCGAAATAGAATTTAAAAAAGAAAAACTTTATGTACTATACCCTATTAATTTTTCTTTTAGATTAATTTTGTATTTTTGAGTCATGTTGGCAACTGAAATGGGTTGAATATGTAAAAACAATTCTATTCATTAAAAATCAAAATATGGATGCCGATTTTAAGGCTCAATTAGATCAAGAAAGAACTAAAGTTGAAGATGCATTTGAATTTTTTGGTTGCAAAGTTGGTCGAGGAACGTATGGACATGTATATAAAGCAAAGAAAAAAGATGGGTAAATGTATATATGTGTACATAACCTTGAAATTAATATACGTATATGTGGTTGTTACTTGATCAGTTCGTTCTTTTTCCTTTTTAATGTCCATCAAGATAAATTTTCGTGACATTGATTTTATTTTTTTTGTGTCTAGTTATTGTTTTTTATTGCTTGTCTCATTGATTTAGAAGTGACACACGGGAATATGCATTGAAACAAATTGAAGGTGATTATAAATACTATATGATTGCACATAACGAATGAGAAGGACATTTTTTTTTCTTGTATATAGGAGCTGGTTTATCAACAAGCGCTTGTCGAGAAATTTCCGTACGCTTTGCTTTTCTTTTTGTTGTTTTTATTTTAAAAGAAAAAGTTTTTTTTTGTAGTTATTACGTGAATTAAAACATGTCAATGTTATTACACTACAACGTGTTTTTCTTTCCCATGCCGATCGTCGTGTTTATCTTTTATTTGATTTTGCTGAACATGATTTATGGGTAAAATAAAAACGAAAAAAAATAGAATTAGAAAAAATTTTTTTTTAATATTAAAAGCATATTATTAAATTTCATCGTTCAGCAAAACAAAATAAAAAAACTGTTGCATGTGCACGTGGGATGGTTAAATCATTACTTAATCAAATACTTGCTGGTATACATTATTTACATTCAAATTGGATACTTCATCGAGATCTTAAACCAGCTAATATATTAGTTATGGGTGACGGTATTGAACGTGGTAGAGTTAAAATTGCAGATATGGGTTTTGCACGTTTATTTAATTCACCATTGAAACCGATGGCAGACTTAGGTAAATGAAGAATTTATGACATCTAATAAGTATTTAAAGACACATAAAAAAGTATTTATTTATGTTTATAGTTTTTCTTTTGAAATAATTTTGCCCATCATGTCAGTATTGAAAGGGTACAAAGGATAGAACGAAACATTGGCCATTTTTGACATTTTTTCTATGTTTGCCATCCTACTAATAAAAGTATAAGTAGATTACACAAAATACGAAAGAAAAAAGAATCAAATATGTCGAATAAGACAGTCATCGATGTGTAGACATATAAACTAATAATATTGACTTACGGGGTCATAAATGTAGAATAGTTATTAAATATGGTCAAGAATCTCTCTTTCTCTGTTATAAATTGCTGATCCACAATAAAAATTACATTTTCAGATCTTAAAAACAATCAGTGTACTAATCGATTCAATTCATAAAAGTATTGTTAAATATAATTCTAATTAGTTCTATTGTGTGTCTTTTCTATTAAACAATTAATCAATTAGATTTAATAAGAAAGAAATTGTTTTAATTATTCTATCAAATCGAAAGGATAGTCTATTAAACTCCACTACCTCTCAAAAAAAGTCACTTTTCATCAGAATAGTTGAAATTAAGATAAATACACGAGAAAATAGTCTGTGGTCTGATCTTTCAGAGACAGCAAGATTTTTTTATTCGGTATCTTATTTTTTGGTTGTTTTTAGAAAAACCGAAAAATTTGTCTTGTTTTTTCACTATTTATGCTTTTTGAATTGCGCATACCAAAATTCTCAAAAGAGCTTCATTGCAACCAATAACTTTCTTTTTTGTTTGAAAAAGCAAGTTTAGAGACAAAGAATGGCAGACTTTCTTTTTTGAATTAAGCTATGTTACTATTATATAAAAGAGTAGTTATATAATTAGAGCGTCATTTTTTGAAATTTGAAACTTTTCCCTTAAAAAGTGAGAATTTAACAAAAAGGACTGTGTCATGTCCTACACACTGGCATGCTGTTTCAAACAAAAAAAATTAGGTCTATAGAATGAAGGTCGATCGAGAAATTTGAATTACCAAATAAGCTATTTTTGGCCATTGTTTGTTGAGTATCTTCCAAAAACGTTATGATATGGAGCTGAAAATTTTACTACAGCTTCTTTGTTACAATTCTAACATATTCTGAAAATTTCATGTGATTTGAGTATTCCTGGACCAAGATCGATTTTTGAGCGTGAAGGATCATTTTAAAAAATGAAAAATCGATCAAGTCTAACAATTACAATGATTAATAATTTTTTTTTAAATAGAAGAGAATAACTTGTGTAATAACAAAAAGAAGACAAATACAACAGTTATGAACATTTGTAACACACCGACATGTTATATATACTAATATAGCTACATGAAGAAAAAAAAAGTTGTTTCTTTTTACTTAATAAATTTTGTTTTTATGGACTTTGTCCCATTCAATTTCCAATTATAAATCTTGATAGTATGAGTATAAATGTATTACGATGTATAGTTGTGACTTGCATGCTACATGTTATTTGCTTCGTTGATATCTTTTCTAGTGGTTCCAAGTATGGTCACGATAAATCTAATCTGATCCTGATCTCGTTGATTTCAGTTTTTTGAGTTTCGGCTTAGAGAAAACTATTCTAGAATCTACTTGTATCCTATCTAAAAGAATTTTTTAATACTCGCTTATGATTTTATTTAATTGAGGGCTAACCATTTTTTTGAGTCATCCACATTGAATGATGTTCTGATTCAGATATGATAATTTGCTTAAAATCATAGAATATTTAACAATAATGTTTAGTTTTAGTTGGTAGGACATTTTTTCTCGTAGTGTCTCGGCAGCTTCTCTTTCCCAAGACTAAAAGTTGATTCTACACATCTCTGATCATGACTGATTTATTGTTTGCATATAATTAAAGTTAAGTTCTCAAATAATTTGTAGATCCTGTTGTTGTTACATTTTGGTATCGTGCACCAGAATTATTACTTGGCGCTCGACATTATACAAAAGCAATTGATATTTGGGCCATAGGGTATTTTATAATAATCAAAAAGAATGAGTTGAAAAAACGAACAATTCTATTTCATAGATGTATATTTGCTGAACTACTTACTTATGAACCCATATTTCATTGCAAACAAGAAGATATCAAAACTAGTACACCTTATCATCATGATCAGCTTGATCGAATTTTTTCTGTTATGAGTTTTCCAACTGGTATATGATTTCAATAGAGTTCATGTAATTGATCTCTTTTGTTTTGTTTTGTCGTATTTTTAAAGATAAAGAATGGGAAGATATGAAGAAAATGCCAGAATATACACGTTTATCGAAAGAATTTAAAAAGAACAAGTAAGTTTATTATTAATAATCATTTCACAAAAAAAACATTCGTATTACTTTTTTCTAGTTATGCAACCTCTAGTTTAAATAAATATATGGATAAACACAATGTTCGATCAGATGGTCGAGCATTTCAATTATTAACGCGTTTACTTACTATTGATCCAACAAAACGATTATCTGGTATGTATTTTATTTTGTAGAGCATTTTATACTTTTTCCATTTTTTTATAGCTTTAGAAGCAATGAATGATTTTTATTTTAAAGAAGATCCTCGACCTACTGATGAGTAAATATTAAAAAAAAACAAAAAGAATAATTCTGTTTTACATTTCAATCATGTTTCTATTAAGTGTTTTCGATTCTCATCCGATACCTTATCCTAAACGTGATTTCATAACTGATGATGACTCATCCGAAGTTACCGGCGCACATGTATCAAAAACTGAATCAACAATAATGGTTAAGACAGAAGCGTCATCAGTTGTTCTTACACAACAACAAGCATCTCATTTGAATCATAGTCAACAACAATTAACAACACAACAGCAACAGCAGCAAAATGTACTTATTAAACAGCAACCACAACAACAACATAATAACATTGTTCAACAGACACATCCTCAACAGATGAAATTAATGCAACAACATTCATCCAATGTAAATATTCAAGGACAACCACCTGAAAAGAAATTCTGCGTAGCTGGTGTTTATACTGGTAGCGACTCATCGAACTATGATTATCAAGTAAATAAATATATCTCATTCTTCTAAACATTTTTTCTCATATTTTCAGCAACAGATTTCTTTCGTATCATTAGATATATATATCTATCGAAATGATTATTTTTTTTTCTAACTATATTCTTTCACTTGCAACTACTAATTTCATATCTATATATATATATAACTGCTTTGTTTTAATGCTTCCTTTTTAGAGAAATCCGAATCAACAACAACAAATGTATCCACAACAACGACTTTAGTCTATTCTTTTATATATATATATATAAATAATATTTATTTATTCATGTGTTTCTTTGTTTTGACAACTATTTGTATATGATTGTTTTTTTTTCGTTTTATCCGTGTTATTATTAATATACATAAATATATACAAGAAAAATAAAATATTAATTGTGTTTGTTTTTGTAGATGGCTACAGTAACAAATTTTCGTTACACTACATCCCCGATAATAATTATTCTAGGTGCAACAGCTGTTGGAAAAACGAAATTATCAGTTTATTTATCTAAACGTTTTAATGGAGAAATAATTAATGCAGATTCAATGCAAATATATGAAGGTTTAGATATTACAACAGCTAAACCAACAATTGCAGAACAAGATAATATTCCTCATCATTTATTTAGTTATGTGAATCCTTTTGATCGCTCACATACTGTTGTGGATTATCGAAATGATTCTTTACCAATTGTGAGTTAATTAAAAGAAACTAAAAAAGAAAAAGAATTGAGCCATTTTTCGAGTATAGAAGCACACACTAAATAATAGAAAGTCCGTTATGCGTTTCGTTTTAACGTTAAATTCTTTTTTCAATCCGTTTCCTAAAACTAAAAATGAACTCTTTTTATTTTACTTCTTAGATCGAATCGGTGATATCTCGATCTCATGTTCCATTTATTGTCGGTGGTACGAATTATTATATTGAGTCTTTACTTTTTCATCTTAATCCACCGGAACCATCATCCGACAATTCACATGATAAACAATCTACTTCATTATCAACTGACTTATCGGATGAAAATTTAGCAAAATTAACTTCAGTTCAATTACATGAACTATTATCAAAAATCGATAAACCAACAAGTATCAGAAGACATCCAAATGAAGAACGTAAAATACGAAGGTTTGTTTCTACCTTTAGTAATTTGTGTTTTTTTTCTCACAAAAAAAATTTGAGTAATCTCTCAGGTGTAAGAGACATCACATCTAGAAAGACTAATGCAAAAACACGCAAAAAAGGAACATGTCAATTAATCATAATGATCTATGTAGAAAAATGACGAAGGCACGTTTATTTGATGGGAAAAATACGAACAGATGTACAAAGGTGTGCATGTAATTATATTGACAGCGATGAAAATATATGAAGATTTTATCTGAATAAATAGTCGTTAGCAAAAACTTTTTGTCAGTTCTATCTGTATCTTTCGCATAACATTTAGAGCTATTGAATTTTATCGTGATTCTGGTGGCATTGCATTAAGTGAAGCATTAAAAAGACAACATGCTGAAAGTGGTTTTGCTTATCGAGGATCATTTCGTTTTCATCGTTGTTGTCTGTTATGGCTAACATGTCAAAAACAGGGTATATTTACGCAAACAAAACAAATATTATTTTTTCTTGTTTTTAGAATTAGAAAGACGTATAAATGATCGAATAAAATCTATGCTTGATCGTGGTCTTATTAATGAATTAGAAAAATTTCATGATGAATATAATCAAACAAGTACACAAGCAGAACAATCATATAATTATACTCGTGGAATATTTCAAGCAATTGGTTTTAAAGAATTTCATGATTATTTACTTTTATCAGATATAGAACGAAAAAGTGAACATGGTGAAAAAGTATTTGCTAATGGTAGGTATGTAAGATTGAAAGTTTTTTTATTTTAATGTATGCAGGAAGCCACAAATGCAAAATTAAGCAAGACTTATTTTTATTTTATTTTTTATATATAGTTAGATAGAGCGTGATAAATTAATCAAGATAATGTATACGTTTTCTATTTTTGGGAATTCGTTTTTAAAGAAAAACTTCATTTTTTTCCGATGACCTCTAAAAAAAGAGGTCAATTTTCCATAACCGACAACTTGTCAAATGTTTGTTTTGTTTCCTTCAAGTTTTGAAGCTGCTTGTTTGACATTCAGTGTGAAAAACTGAATCTACAAAAGTCATTTATAAATGAATTTTCTAGATGCACCTTTTCACATTGAATGTCAAACAAACAACTTTAAAATTTGAAGGAAGCGAAAAACATTTGACAAGTTGTTAATTATTGAAAATTGACTTTGTGTTTTTTAGAAAAAGTAGGCCATCGGAAATAAATGAAATTTTTTCGCTAAAAACTAATTCCAAAAAAAAATGACAAACACATATTCTTAATCAGCTCATCACATGCTACCTAACCATATAAAAATACTCTTCTTTAATTTTGCATTTTGGCATTTTACAGACGTTTCCAAGGCTATTCCATCTAGTTTATTTTCAATTTTTTTTCTGCCTTCTCGTCAGTGCTTATACCAATTGAAATAGTGATTTTGTGTAGTAAATTTTATTTCCAACGTAAATTTTCGAATCATGAAAATAATTGCTTGTTTTTCAAGCGTAGGGTTTCTGAAAAACTGAAATTCAAGTTTTTTATCTATTAGAATTCTATTTAAGTTACTCGAAATGATGGAACAAACAATTTTCTACAAAATGAATTGTCTTTCAGCTCTCTACAACTTTTTTCGACTGAGATACATCAAAATTATGGTAGGACCAAAAATTATGTTTGTACACGAAACAATAGAAAAAACGAGTTATGCTGCTTTCGTAAGATTGGTACATGTCAATCAAAAAGCGACGAAAGATATTTTAATCTGGAGAATATTGTTTGTTCTTTGGTTCTGTGTAATCTAAACAGAATTCCAGTAGATTAAAAACTTGCATTGGGGTTTTTAGAGACTCTATCCTTAGAAAACTAGCAATCATTCTCATGTTTGAAAATTCGTGTTAGATATGAAAATTCTTTACACAAGTCATTATTGTGGATTTTTATTAGCGTTGATGGTAGTCGAAAAAGCATTGGAAATAAATATGGTCGAAACAGACTTGGAAGATAGAATATATATAGCTATATCCGCATCTATATCCACATCTATATGTATATGGGTTTTTTATTCTTAGCTATTGAACGCCTGAAACTTTCTACAAGACAATATTCAAAATATCAAGAAAAATGGCTTCGAATGCGTCTTCTTCAACGTAAATTTAATTTAATTTTGACATATAAAATTTTATTCAATGTGATTTTAGGCATCGAAGAACATTCTCCTAATGTTTATGAGCTTGATACAACTAATTTATCATTATGGCATGAAAATGTTGAACAACGAGCTGAAGCTATTATTGATGCTTTTCTAAAAGTAAACGTATTCTTATCTGCTATATTCGTATGTTTAAAAATATAATTGTATGTTAGAATGAAAAAATTCCATTTGATCCTCTTCCAAAAACACCAATAGATGAACCTATTTATGAACAAAATACATGCTTAGCATGTCAACGTGTATTTCATATGAAATCACAGTGGCTTGGTTAATATTTCATTTTATCTTCAATGTAGACTCTTTTAATATTTCTTCTTTTTAATATAGATCACTTAAAAAGCAAACAACATAAACGAATAGTTCGTGCAACAGATCGAGCTGCATATCGTCAAAAATTGAATAATGCTATACCATCATTATTGAGCACACTTGATTTATTACAAATGAAAAAAAATTCTGAAATACAGAAAGAGAGTGATGAATTTGAAATAGATGAAACAATAGAATCTTTAGAAAAAAATAATTGATTGATATTTGTCATTATTTACTGTTTGTTTTTGTTTCTAGAAAAATATATATATTTTGTTTTTTTTTCCGAAAAAAATTATTTCGTATGGTGAACAAGAGAAGCAATTTTGTCGAAGTAAGAGAGTGAGAGAAATAAACATAAGTCAAACCAAATATTAACGCAATTAATATTTTACCTTGCTTTCTCTCGCTCTCTTTTATTATTTGGATGATCTTTATTTTAGTATTATTGATTTTTATTTCAGAGACGTCTCTATGAATATACATTGCATGCTGTTTGTTCTCCATTACATGTCATTGAGCCTGGAGCAACAAGTGATCAACTTGCTGCACACGTTGCTGAAGTATATTAAAAATAAAGATTAAATAAAACTAAGAATTTTCGTTTATGCTTTAATAGCTTTTTAATGTTGATCCTGAAGAACATGAACAAAAATATATGCGAGCTCTTAAGCTGGAAGTAAAACTATTTTTTGCTTTTTTTTTGTTCTTGAAAACCAAATAATCTTTCTTGTATGTGATATTTAGCCATGCTCTGTTGTTCTATGTGTTGATGTTAAAAAAGCACGTGACTTACTTGGTGAAGATCGAAATGGTTTGTTTCTATTTTAAATATTGTTCCTTTTTTTTAATATTTCTTGTTTGAATAGGTTTTAGTGATCCTTATTGTGAAGTGAGTGTTATAAATATTCCCAGCAAACAAGATGATTCAAATGAATTAACATCATCGTCATCATCTATATCAGCGTCAACATCACCTAATCGTCCAAAACGAAGCCCATCATTATTTTCTTGCGCTAGTGGATCATGTATGTTGAGTCGCAAAAGTGTTTCATCCAAAATAATATTCATATTTTTCTACTATTTTTGTTTTAGCTTCAAAAAATAAATTAAAATCACTAACTACGAAAACTAGCCGGGCAAATAGTAAAAGTAATAGTCGAAGATATTCAATAGATCGTTTATCAGTAACATTATCTAATAAGAGCAAAACATTGAAAAGTGTTATTTATCGTACCGAAGTTCGACCAAAAACTATTAATCCTGAATGGAATTCACATTTTGAATTGTACGTTGGTTATATTAATTTACAGTTTTATTTAATCTTGATTAATCTTTTTCTTTCCTTATTGATCATCTCTAAAATAGAATGTTCATTGTTTTAATCTGTTTAGTGAGATTGAAAATGTACAAGAACAACATTTACTCATAAGAGTATTTGATTCAGACTGTGGTCAAGTATCAAGTTTTAAAACAGTTGTTCAAGAAAAACGAGGTGTTTCACGGTAAAACTTATTGTTTTCTGTTTCAAACATATTTCATTTTTATTTGATTATTTTAGCAAACTTCGTGGACTTCGAAGTCTCATCAGAACAGGTGAAATTGAAGATGATTTTCTTGGTCAAGTTAGTCTTGATATTAAAGTAATTGAAGTTTCGTTTTTTTTCATGTAAGCTCTAATTCGTACGTCGCTTATGACGTAAGAAGTGTCACTAATGTTATTTGACCGAATGAAGAAGAAATTTCCCTTCGTAGGATTGTAACCGCACACCTTGTGCTATCCCAGCAGATATTCCAAGTTACATATGCTAGATGGAACACCTTAATCTTCGTCTAGTGTGGGAGTGTATGATTTCTGACACTACCCATGAAAAAAATTTTTATAAAATTTTGCGTTGAAACACGTTTTTTTATTGGCTCGCATGTTTTCGCTAGACTTTAAACGCAGTTTTAAAATGCGTTTAAACGCGTTTTTTGAAGTAACAAAAAGCATTCCATAAGACTAAGAAGACCCAAAATTTTTTAAAAAAAAATGTTATTTTCAACTCAATCATTG